TTTTCTTGGTGGAAGAAGCAATCTGTTATGGTTAAATCTATTATGGTTATGGCGGGTGGGAGGAGATGGAAAATTATTCATGGGCTTGAAGATAGCACAGTGACAGCAGCAATGGTTCAAAAGCAGCAACAATTGTGAGGTTGGCGCAGGACTGGGCAGTGTATCGTTCTGTTGTGCATAGGGGCACTATGAGTCGGTATTGACTCAGTGGAACCTAACTACAAAAGAAGGTAAACATATGTTTACCTGGGTGACAGGACAGGCAATAACAGCAAGAGGGGAGTTAGCAGCGGAATGATGAAGGTAGTGGGAGGCACAGCAAACAATGCAATAGTTAAAGAGAATAAGGTAAATGCTGTTAACTGATGATACATGGAGGGGATTGCAACCACATATTGAAGCAAAGTATACGTGCTGAATGTAAAACTGATGATCTGCCTCTGTAAACGTTCACTCACTTTATAATAAAAAGTTTTTAAAAAGCCCCCACATAGTGCCTCCTAATCTGATGTGGCACTGTAGAACAAGTGCTGTACTGAAAGATCAGTTTGAACCACAAGGTTGGTGGTTCAAACTCATAAACTGCTCCTGGGAAACCGTGTACAGGGTTGCAAGGAGTAAGAAACCATGGCACTTAACATAAACATGCTTTAGCCCAGGGGTAGGGAAAGCATGGAGTCCTGGTGTGGCACTTTAGGATAATGCACTGGACTGCAAGGTTAGCTTAAACTGCAAGGTTGGTAGTTCAGACCCACCAGCTGCTCCTCAGAAACCTTATACAGAGTCGCTATGGGTCGGAACTGACTTGATGGTATTTAACAACAACAGGGAAAGTCCAGCTTGCGTGCTGTAAGTTGCTGTTGTTAAGTGTTGTCGAGTTGGTTCCGACCCACAAGGTCGGCGAAAATCCTATACAGGTCATTGGAAATCCAAAGACCTGTATAGGGTTTCCACTGACGTTGTGGCTCAAGCCGACATTACAGTCCAGCACATTAACCCACAGTGCTATACCAGAACTCCAGAATGTTAAATCTATAGGGTGTCTGAGGAGCGGCTGATGAGCTTGAACTGCTGACCTTGTGGCTCAATTCGACCTTGCTGTCTGGCACATTAACCGCAGTGCTACACCAGGACTCCCACATGCTGTGGAAGACCTGTATATAGAAATCATTTGATTTGTCCCTACCAAGGCCATCCCAGTGCCAGTCATCACATTGCTGTTAAGTGTGTCAAATAGGTTGCTACTCATAGTGACCCTGTCTAGGGTTTCGGAGGAGCGGCTGAAGAATTTGAACCGCTGACCTTGTGGTTCAAACCTACCTTGTGGCCCAGTGTAATATCCCACATTGCCACATCAGGACACCAGCCATCACCTTAGAGGTGAGTTAAATGTTTGACCAGATACAGCAGGCTAATTTTTAAATTGATTAATTTTGTATGGCATGCGAATGATGTTATAAATTGTGGCAGAAAAACAGTTCCCCACCCTGCTTTAGACATTGCTCCACGTTGTACTTCTTAGCCTATCTTATCCTTACCCTCTATTGTTTTTGTTAAGTGCCGTCGAGTCGATTCCAACCCATAGTGACCCTGTATAGGGTTTTTGAGGAGCAGTTGGTAAGCTTGAACCGCTGACCTTGCAGTTCAAACGACTTTGCAGTTATGTAGGCTTATATGAGGCCATTTTATAGATGTGGAAAGTTAAAACTCAGAAAGAGAAATAAATTGCTAAATCAGAGAGCGATTTATTAATTGGTGAGTTAAAGCTTCAGTCTCTGCCATTAACCATTATGCTCTGCGGCTTCTATAGCTATATTACTAATTTATTTTAATTACATTTAGCCCTAGAAAACTCTTGTGGACTATGATCCTGTCCTCTTCATCTAATTCTTATGCATAGCAGTTTCTGGGCAGAATAGGTTGTTGGATCTCTGAAGCAAAATAATAGCCACTGCTAGTCAATCCACTCCAGTAGCAAGCATTACATTGTATTCACAGGTTTATATATTTTTGATATGCAAACAATTTTTCCCAGTGTAAAAGCTGTTGTTATTAGGTGCCATCGAGGCCATACCAATCCATAATGACTTTGTGCACAGCAGAACGAAACAGTGTAAAAGATACCCCTATAAATTGTAGTTTTATTGCCTTAGAGCACATTAACTAGTTTGATATGTGTCAGGGAGTCTCCAAGACCACTGCTAGGTCAGATGATTTGCCAGGACTCCACACATATGACTGAGTTATGTGCTGGACTAAACTGGAAGATTGGAGGCTCAAATTCACTTAGTGGTTCTGTGGGAAAAGATATGACAATCTGCTTCCATAAAGATTGCTGTTATTGCTGGTAAGTGCCGTTGAGGTGGTACCAACCCATAACGACCCTGTATAGGGTTTCTGAGGAGCGGTGGGTAAGCTTGAACCACCAACTTTGCCATTCTATTCTATTACCTGGGGTTGCTGAGTCTTAATCAATTTATTATCATCTAGAAACATGATTTATAATGGTGAAAGGATACAAGCAAAATTAGCCAAGGAAGAAGTTGCAAAGTCCAGGAAAACCAGAAGTTTCCAAGAATCCTGTGCCAGTGGCCACAGAGAATGCCCTCCATTTCCCCAGCAATGAGCCGTGATTAACACATATGAAATGTTGCTAACCAACGTTCATTAGAGACTCAGCACCCGGGGTTTTACTGGGATCCAAGATGACATGGTGTGATGAGCACCTGACTGCTAACTTCAAACCCAACAGCAGTTCCAAAGCAGAAAGATGAGGCTGTTTCTGTACAAACAAGGTTGCTATGCATCAGAATTTACTTGATGGCCCAAGTTTTGGTTTGGTCACTTAAGCATGTTTGGCACATATTCCAGAGGCCTTAAGGTAAATGGCACATGGTGGTTCCATACAATAAGCACTGGACTGTGAATCATTAGGTCTGCTCTGTCAAAGATATAAGGCCTCTCAAACTCTATACAGGGTCATTATGAGTTGAAAGAGACACGCTAGCACTGTAATAGAAGGAAATTGTCTTTATAGGATAAGCACTAACTGGACTGCTAATCACAAGGTTGCCAGTTCAAGTCCCATCAGCTGTTCCACAGATGAGGTTTTCTGCTCTGAGACTTAGTCTCGGAAACTATACAATGTTGCCAAGTCAAACCCACTCAATGGCACTTAAGAAGGAAAATAGGTGTTCAACATTACTATATTGTTTGTACAGTTTAGGCATAGCGAGCTTACACTGGTTCCTGTCAGTTCTGGGCATAATGGAATCCTCCTGAACTCCAAGTTCCTAGATACCAGCCAATCCCAATCTTGTATGCAGGCCATTCCAAGGATAAGCAGTTAGGCCTGCCTGCCACGTGTTTTTTTCTACACAGTACCTAATCTAGCAATTTTATTCCATCTTTCTTTCTTCATTGCCCAGACACAAATTTCTAGAATTCTCATTTGAACCAGATTTACCATCCTGTTGATTCTCTCATTAATTAAGTGTTTGGCATGTAATCATTTATAGGAATCATGTTTTACTTAGACAGACATAATCTAAACAGGCAAAACAAATTCCAGCCCAAATTACTAAGAAACACCAATATCAAAGCTGACTACTGTACACACTAGTTATTTAAAGAAAAAGTTACATTTGCATTTCATAATTTTGTACTGACTTGCCCGACTCCAGAACTGTCGGATTCGGGTAGCAATCATTTAATATTAAAGCATACATTCATGAAAACGTACTATTTTTGCAGGTGGTGGTAAGTGCCATCTAGTCATCTCTGACTCATAGGCAGTCTGTATAAGGTTTCAGAGGAGCAGCTGGTAAGCTTGAACCAACTTTGTGCTTCAAACCGACCTTGAGGTCCAGCACATTAACCTGTAGTGTCACACTAGGACTCCATTTTTGCAATTTACTCTTTGTTTTAACAATCAGAATATTAAAAATTTCCAAAAAGATAAAATGCAATCATTTAAATATGACAAGAAAGCCAAATTTAAAAACTAATAGAAACAGAAAACAGCTATTGAGTCAATTCCAGCTCATAGTGATCCGAGGTATGTCAGAACACAACTGTGATTCATGGGGTTTTCAATGCCTGAGTTTTCATAAGCAGACTGCCAGGTCTTTCTTCTGAGGTGCCTCTGGGTAGACTTGAACTGCCAACCTTTTGGTTAGCAGCTGAGCGTTTTAACTGATTGCAACTCCTTAGAAATGATTGTTGTTAAGTGCTGTCAAGTGGGTTCTGACCCATAGCAACCCTGCATAGGGTTTCCCAGGAGCAGCTGGTGAGCTTGAACCGCTGTCAACCGTGCAGTTCAAACAGCTTTGCAGTCTGGAGCTTTAACCCACAGGGCCACTCCAGAAATTATATACTTCCTTCATATCACTCTTTTAAAATAATAAAACTGTAAACTTAAATTCAATTATAACATGTAGTATATAATATACAAAGTAATATTGTATTTTGACCTTTATTATGCTTCAGCTATTTCACTAATCATTTCAAATTTATTTCAACAGTTTTGCTACACTTTGTGAGATTAATTTGACAACCAGATATAATTTTATAAATTTCCATATATAATGATAGCCAAAACACAAAAGAAGTCAAGCTTTATCAAATAATTCTATATAAAGAGGATCCAATTAAGAGTTGGCATACTTAGCATAAGCTTAAGAGAAAGGTACACATCTTGATTTTAAAAACTAGAAGCATTTTAATGAAAAAAAGAATCAAGTATTGAAGAAAGAAAATTTATTTCTAAGTAGCAGCTGGTACTGTCTTCACAATGTGTACCATTTGTGAAAATACATTATTGAATGAATGCTCATGTGATATTTACAAAATAGAGGGGAGAAAGGGGAAGAAACTTCTAAAGTTATCAGTGACTTTCATTTGCTCTCTTCCAATGTTTTGAGTGCAGCACTTTACATACAAACTAAAAATGGGATTCTAGCCAACAATAAAGTACATATGCCACGATGTAATGATGTAATTCAAGTTGAAGTTGTAAGCTTATCAATTAAGTCATCAATAGTGTAAACAATAAGTTGAATGTCTGCTTTTTCCTTCATTCGGTGATCACTATCTTTTCGGAGGACAATATCAACGTCTGTGCTGATGACTCGGTCAGCGACCTGCAAGGATGTATGCCATGGTACGATGTCATCCTTCATGCCATGGAGTAATCGTATAGGGCAGTTCACAGGAATAGGGCTATGTAACAAGCAGTGATGTTCAGCTTCTTTAATAAAACTGTACTGAATGTGGTACGTTCCTTCTTCAGTATATTTTGTAGGTATTACCCACTCGCCTTTCATTTCTATTTCCTTTTTTACCTATTGGGAAATGTGAAAACAAACCAAGTAATAATTATACAGCATTGACACATGCAAGTCTTAATTTTTTTTAAGTCTAAGAAAGGTATTTCTTGAGGAAGAGGTAAATTGTCCGCTGGTAAGTCAGTTGGCCCTTGACTTACAGACACCCCAGTGAGTGCATACGAGAACAAAATGCTGCCAGTCCTACAGTGACCCATGACTGGTAACAGACTGGACTGCTGTAATTCACAGGGCTTTCATTGGCTGCCTTTTGGCAGTAGATTTAAAATAAACAAGATTCTAAATAAAAAACTGCCTTTTGTCCTAGTTTGTCTTAGTCTGGAAGCTCTTCTGATACCTGTGCATCATATCATGCAAGGTGCAATGGTCAGGAATTGAATCCAGGCTCCTAGAAGGAAGGTGAGAACTGTACCACTGAGCTACCACTGCTTCCAGAGGAAAGGAGCTACTGAGGAAGCAGACTGAATAAAAATAGAAGAAGGGCAGGAAAGAGACATGGAAAATGTTTAACAATAACAGCTATCAATAACTGAATACTTAGTATATGCTAGGTACTGTGACAAGCACATGTATTAGCTAACAAGAGCCTTAAACTATTCTGTCATTCCATTTTTGTAAAATATAGAAACATTTGGAGGGGTTAGATATCATACTCAAGGTTCAATACTAATATTTGTTGTTGCTAGGACTCACACTTAGATTTATCCATTATACCCAGGGCTCCTTAACTTTATCATGCAACAAATTAAATTAAATGTTGTTCTGTCCCAACTGACGGAACATTTCCAGAAAAAACAAAGAGGGAGAAGTATAGTCATTTATTGTAATCAGTTTAGGTATCATCCTTATTTATATAAAATCAAGTTTAGACTTTAGACTTTAAAATCATATAAAACTAAACATCCCTCTAATTTTTCTAAGTAAAAGGACAGCACATACACATTACAGAAAACATGGGAAATACAGAAGCATAAAAAGAGATCAATCATCTATAATACTATTATGTGGCTACAACTATCATTTGTATTCTGGCTTATTTCCTTCACTTCTGTTCATGTGTTTAGTTTTTTTTTACATGTAATATGTAAAATACATACCTTACTATTATGCATTTATATGCAATTTTTATACTGCTGTATTAATTTAGTACATATATTTCTGTGCTTTAAAAAAATCTATTTAAAGTTTTAAAAGGCTATATAACAGTTTACTATAATGAATCTATGATAATTAACATAACCCTTCTCAAACTGCTGGATACTTCCATGAACATCTTTGAACATAAAGGTTTCTATGTATATTTATCAATTCTTTGGAAAGGTTACTAGAATTTGAGCTAATAAACCAAAAAGTACATAGTTTTAAGGTTCTTTGAAGTATATAAAATGAAGGGCATCTCTAAGTAGAAAACAAGGTCGATATTTTATCGGAATTAAAGGATAATATATGGAAAGATAAACTATATACATCAAAATAGAAAATAATTAGAATATAAAAATCAAGTATGTATGATCTGTTGTTGTTAGGTACCATCGAGTCTGCACCGACTCCTAGTGATTCTATGCAGAACACAACGAAACACTGCCCGGTCCTGTGCCAACCTCACAATTGTTGCTTCATTTGAGCCCATGCTGATGCCACTGTGACAATCCATCTCGTTGGGGGTCTGCCTCTTTTTCTCCGACCTCCCACTTTACCAAACATGATATCCTTCTCCAGGGACTGGCCCCTCTAGATAAGATGTCCAAAGTATGAGAGATGAAGTCTGGCCATCCTGGCTTCCAAGAAGCACTCTGGCTGCACTTCTTCCAACATAGATCTGTTTGTTCTTTTGATGGTCTATGGTACTTTCAATATTCTCCTTCAACACCATAACTCAAATCAATTCTTCTAAAGTCTTCCTTATTCACTGTTCAACTTTCACTGTATAGGAAGTTATTGAAAATACTACGGCTTGGGCCAGGTATACCTTAGTCCTCAAACTTACACCTTTGTTCTCGAACACTTTAAAGAGATCTTGTGCAGATTTCCCTAATGCAATATGTCGCTTGATTTCTTGACTGCTGCTTCCATGAGTGTTGATGGTTGATCTGAGCAAAATGAAGACTTCAACAACTTCAATCCTTTCTTCATTTATATAGATATTGTTTATTGGTCGAATGATGAAGATTTTTCTTTTCATTGAAGTGCAACCAACCCATACCGAAGGCTGTGATCTTTGATTTTCATCAGTAAGCATTTTGGATTGTCTTCACTTTCAGCAAACAAGGCTGTATATCTGCATATGGTAGATTGTTAATGATGCTCCAATCCTGATGCTACATTCTCCATATAATCCATCTTCTCAGATTATGTGCTCAGCATACAGACTGAATAAATATGGTGAACGAATACAACCCTGGCACACACCTTCCCTAATTTCAAACCATTCTGTGTTTCCTTGTTCTGTTCAGACAACTGTCTCTTGCATATATATAGTTATTGAGGAGCAGCTGGTGGGTTTGAACCACTGAAATGGCAGTTATCAGTCCAGTGCTTATCCTACAGCACTGCACCAAGACGCCAGAGTCACCACCAGGTAGTGGGGTTGATAAAATTCAGATTTCAAAAGCTGTGCGTTCTCTCAGAGCCCTCTAGTGGTCAAAGGAAAACACAAATATTAGAGTCAGTTAAGGAGCAGAACAAAAAGGAGAAATCCTGGGTCTTAAAATAATTAACTGATGTAATGATCAAAGACTTCATTCAGTATGGCTTGCACATCAATTTAAGGAAAACAACGAGCCTCACAACTGCATCAACAGCAACATGATAAATGGAGAAAAGACTGAAGTTGTCAAAATTTCATTTTGTCTGGATCCACTCATGGAAGCAGCAGTCAAGAAATGAAACAACATATTGCATTAAGCAAATCATCTGCGAAAGACTTCTTTAAAGCGTTAAAGAGAAAAGATACCAGTTTGAGAACTAAGGTGCACCTGACCCAAGCCATGGTGTTTTCAAATCACTTCATGTGCATGTGAAAGTTAGAAAATGATTAAGAAAGAATATAGAAGAACTGGTACATTTGAATTATGGTGTTGGCAAATTTAATTAAAAGTATCACCGAATGTCAAGAGAACAAACCAATGTGTCTTGGAAAAAGTGCATCTCTCATACTTTGAACATGTTATCAGGAAGGACCAGTCCTGGAGAAGGACATCATGCTTGGTAAAGTGGAGGGTCACCAAAAAAGAAGAAGACCCCCAACAAAATGGACTGACACAATGACAGCAGCGATGGGTTCAGCCTAACAATGTGAGGATGGCACAGGACTGGACAGTGTTTCATTCTGTTGCACACAGGGTCTCTAGAGCTGGAACGGGCTCGATAGCACCTAACAACATTCCCAAAGCTGTCAAAATGGTAAAAAATCTAACCAAACCAAAGCCCACTTCTGCTTCAATGACATTGTTAGGGGTAAACCAAAGCCACCGCTATAGTCAATTCCAATTCATAGCAATCCTTATGGGGTTTCCGAGGCTGTAAATCTTTAAAGGAGCAGACAGCCTTATTTTTATGCTGTAGAGTGGCTGCTGGGTCTTGTTAAAGAGACCTCATCTTCAAATATATTTTATAGTGACTCTTTATTAAGTCGTAAACAGGAGTCAATACAAGACAAAGACAAACATAGATCACCTGGATGAGGGAAATCATAGACACCATGCTGAATTTCCAAAGTTCTAACTCCACGTGGTGACCACTGGTGACCTTTTATAGGGCACACACAACAAAGGAGTCTCTTTTTACAACCATGAATGATGGCAGCAGCCATGTGTCACATATGCATGCCAGGCCTACAGAGAGCAGGGAGGGACTTCTGCAAATAAGAAAGCTTAGTCTGAGGCTCTCGGGGCAGGAGATCACAACAACCAGGTGACCATTTAAAGGGTGTGTCCATGAATGCTAATTCAAGGACTGGCTGGGTGAGCTGACCCCAAAACCTCTTTTAAATATACTGTTTCTAACGTTGGCACCTTAGCTGCCAGAGGTACACGAGGTGCTCAAGAAAAATTGATATCTGAACACTTACACCTAGATGGAACTGAGCTCTGCTAAACTGTAGTCGTTCACAGGCAAAAACTCTTCAGGCTTCATGATCTATAGCAGTTTGAACTGCTCACCTTGCAGTTAGCAGTTCAGTGCTTATCCTATAATGCCACTAGGGGTAGGTGGGAAGAAGGGATTGTAGTCCTAGTGTCCTGCTTTTTTTCTTTCACATGCTCGTAAGTCAACCAAGGTGCAACTTGCTTCTTTAACAACCAATAGCATATTTAATTTAGGAGATCTGGTGGTGCTATATGATAAGCACTAAACTGCTAACCACAAACTGACAGTTCAAATCCACCAGCTGCTTCAAGGGAGAAAGATGAGGCTTTCTAATCCCACACAAATTTACAGCCTCAGAAATGCTATACAGGGTGTCACTATGAATTGATTGCAATGAGTTTGAGTTTGAGCACATAGGATTTAGAATGAGCAAATATTCTGATTTACTGGCCACAGATCTTCTCAATCCCATAGGGGGTATAGACCATACCTTCAAAGAGCTCTGGTAGCATAGCGGTTACAAGTCGGGCTGCTAATCTTAAGGTCAGCAGTTCAAAACTACCAGTGGTTCCACAGGACAAAGATGAGGCTTTCTGCTCCCATAAAGATTTACAGCCTCAGAAACCCTGTACAGGGTCACTATGAGTCGGAACCGACTCCATCTCACATAACCACCACCACTACCACCACTATAATATTTTCACTCTGAGTGATATAGATACAAACACAAAAAGAAAAATATACATAAACCTGTAATTTATCAATAAACAAATCTGGTAAGTCCTGCCAAGTCACTGAGATACTTCCTATAGTGAAAGCATTGTGGTTAGGTATTGCTGGGTTAGAGGATGCAATAACGAGTACAAGGTTTGGATGTAGAAGACGGTATGGCAGAAAAAGTTAGTAACATGAGGACACTGAGCAACTGTGTATGAGAAACAACCAAAAAGTGAAAAGAATTCAGAAATAAGTGCAAAGTCAACCTTACAATTTTAACCCCTGATAGGAAAAAAACCAAAGTGAGATCTGACTTTTCAGACAAGGCCAGAGAGGCTGCAAAGAAGTGAACTAAGGTATCAATGAGGAGCTGAGGCAATAGTCAGGGGGGCTCTTATTATCCAACATTACCTAGGTTTTTTTCTTTTTACTTCTTTCTCTCCTCCTCCTCAACTGTGGGTCTCAACCGTCACCATGGGGCTTGTTAAAACACTGATTTCTGGGCCATACCCTTAATTCCTGATTTAAAAGCTCTAGGGTACACTGAAAGAATTTGTATTTCTAACAAGTCTCAGGTGGTGCTGATGCTGCTGGTCTGGGACCACACTCTAGAATCACTGCTGGAAACGGTTTGATTTTTTTCCTTTCTGTCACGTCCTGTGAGGATGTCAGTCCCACAGGTTAAACTGAGACCCTAGAGAAAAGATACCCCAAAACTTAATTGATTACATCAACAAAAAATATAGGAAAATAAAACAAAAACCCAACACTTAACCAATTTTTTTTAAATTGTGGTAAAAATTATATAAGAAAACATTTACCATTTCCAATATTTTCGCAAGTACAATTCAATGACTGTTAATCATATTTTAAAATTGCATAATCATTACCAGTTTCCAAATTTTTCCATCACCTTTAACCCTTTAAGCAATTCTCCCTACTCCCTTTCCCAACCACATCTGATAACCAGTAATAAACATTAGTCTCTATACATTTACCTATTCTAAATTTACATGTAAGTGGTATCATATAAAATTTGTCCCTTTGTGTCTGGTTTATCATGTTTTCAAGGTTCACCCCTCTTGTAGTATGTATAAGAACTTTTCTTTCTCTTTAAGGCTGGGTAATATTCCATTGTATAGACAGACCACATTTTGTTTATCTAGTTATCAGACGATGAATACCAAGATTGCTTCCCCCTTTGGGCTACTGTGAATAATACTGTAATGAACGATGTTGTATAAGTATCCTTTTTGAATCCCTGTTTTCATTTTTCAGTACATGGCTAGGAGGGCAATGCTGGGTCATATGGCAACTCTAATTTGACTTTTTTGAAGAACCACCAAACTCTTTTCCACAGTAGCTACATTATTCTACATCCCCATCAGCAATGGATGAGGATTCCAATTTCTTAACAATACTTACTATTTCCTATTTTTCTAATAGCTATCCAGACTCAATCATTTTGGTAACTTTATCCTCTTGTACAATGATTCGTCTGCCAGCCCAAATCTGCCGTTATACACTTCCATGGAATTTTTTCATTTCAGCTATATTTTTCAGCTTTAATATTTCCGCCTGATTTATTTTTATGGTTTATATCTATCTCTTCATTGAAATGGTTTTGTTCTTGTTTTCCTGGTTTTCTTTAATTAATGGTCCCTGATTTTCTTTGGTTCTTTGAGCACATTTAATATTGTTTTAAAGTCTTCTAATATATCCATTAGTTCTTATTGTGGCATTGTGGGTAAATGCACTTGACTGCAAGGTTGGTTTGAACTGCAAGCTTGGTGGTTCAAACTCACCAGCCGCTCCTCGGAAATCCTATACAGGGTCGCTATGAGTCAGAACCAACTCGATGGCACTTAAACAACAATCTATCCATTATCCAGGATTCCAGGGGACAACTTACGTCTACTCATTTTTGTCTTTCAATTGGGCACTCCTTCCCTGTTTCTTTACAGGCCCTGTGATTTTTTGTTTTTTGTTTTTTTAATGAGACATTTTAATATAATAATGTGAGCTTTATGAGATGGATTTTTCCCCTCACCCAAGGATTGCATTTCCCACCACACACACTTTTTCTTAAACCATTGGAGCCTATAATAATCTCTCTACTCAGAAACGTACCCTATTTTAGCAAAGAATGCCCTTCATAACTAGGACTCTATTTCGCAGCCTCTGTCCCCAACTAGTGCTCTAAACATTTCCATGTAGTCCTGGGAAAAGACAAAAAAGTAAAAAAATAAAAACCAAGAAAACCAGAAAATATCTGATTCTTCCACTCCTCAGCAGCTGTTGATGTTACTTAATCAAGGATGTAGTTGACTGTCTAGTGAATCTTCCAAGCTATTTTGCATTGTACTTATTCTATTACTTCTATAGTCAGCCACGAAAATAACACAATACACTAAGAGAAAGAAGCTAAAAAGGTGCGCTGGCCCTTTAATTTTCTGCCAGCTGGTAGAAGCAACATATATGAAAACCAAAAACCTCCAAGATTTTACCTTCCTCTGGGCACTGCCAGACCAATGCAAAGGAGCTTCAACAAGCTTTTTTAAGTCCACTGTTCCATGAACTTTCTGAAGTGCCTTTATATAACTGTGCAACTCCGAATTCTTGGAGGACCAAGTTCCCAGTTGTTGTTGTTGTTATATACCATGGAGTCAATTCCGACTCATAGTGACCCTGTACAGGGTTTCCCAAGCTGTAAATCTTCACAGGAGCAGAAAGCCTCATCTTTAGTTTCGAACAGCTGGTAGTTTCGAACTGCTGTCCTTGTGGCTTGCAGCCCGATTCGTAACCACTATGCTACCGAGCTCCTTAAATTCCCTGTACTTACCCTGAAATCAGCCAGTCACTCTAGGAACAATGGCTACCATCCCCACCACTATGGCAATGTTGAAGAATATGGCATGGTAGATGGTTGGCATATGGGGCTTTTCCCTTCACCAAGCACTTCATTGGTGGCTTTAACTGTCTGATCAGGTTTCAGAGGTCCAAAATAGTTGGTTCCAATTGCTCTTTCCAGGACAACTGTAATTTTGGTGGGGTTATGGTTAATGTGCCACACTACAGTCATTTGAACTGCAAGGTCAGCACTTTAAGCTCACCAGCTGCTCCTCAGAAACCCTATGGAGGGTCGCTATGGGTTGAAACCAATTCAACGGCACTTAACAACACGACCACTGACCATTAAAGCTTCCTGCTCAGCCACTCAGCATGGCCCCCTACTCATTATTTCTTTAAGCCTGCAGAATATTAAGGTGCTTAAAGATATGCAGAATGAAAGAGTGTAATAAACCAGTTATTGCAGAAAGCCGATTTCTACAATGATTTGAAGTACACGCTAACACTGAAAAAAAAACTTTTGTTTGAAAATAAGGTAACAATTGTTGTTATTGTTGTTAAGTGCCGTCGAGTCAGTTCCGACCCATAGTGACCCTGAATAGGGTTTCCGAGGAGCAGCTGGTTAGCTTGAACTGCCGACCTTGCAGTTCAAACGGCTTTGCAGTCTGGCGCATTAGCCCACAGTGTCACACCAGGACTCCAAGGTGACAATAAGGTATACAAAATAAAATGCTGATTGTCTAAGCCAAAAGGAAAAATCTTATCTCCTGTGTGTCAATTCTGATTGATACTGTTTGCCTGCAGAGCAGTGCTGAGACCCCATCTGAGGCTGCTTTTAGGCTTAAAAGAAAAACAACAAAACAGGCTCGTAATTGACTATGCAAGCTTGAAAGTTTAACATGGTCATAAAATAGTTATTGTTGCCCACATACCACAAAGTAAAAATAAGAGTACAAATGAAACCACAATGCAGGATCCAAATAAGTAAATGCAGATAATAAGGCGAGTGTTCTTCAAAAAGAAAGTTAAAAATACAATTTCATCAATGTGGCTCAACTACTGAATTTGTATTCTTATGCAAATTCCATGTGCCTTCTGTTTCTTTGCTAACTGATCTCTTCCTCCAATGGGAGTATTCTTGTAAATGTGCTATGTTAATTTTATTTTAAAGGAACATGTAAAAGAAAAAAAAAAAAAAAAAGCAATGGTGTTGCAGCACTTATTTGACAAAATGATTTCAAGGGACCAAGATGGAAAGAAAACCTATAACAAGAGGCTAAATAATTTTAAAAAGGCAAAGAAAGATTGTACAGAAAAAAGTAGCTAAAATAAATTATAGGCCAGCATAAGAAGTCAACGAATAGATGAGACACACACATATTCAAAGAAACAGGCACATGTTTAGATTGCCGAAGTGACTTGAGACTTACCTCAACAGAAAGCTGATTGAATTGTGTCACTAGACTGTCCGCAGCTGTAGCTATACCAATAAGAGCAGCAACCTTTTCTGGCCGTGCAATGGCAGCATGAAACATAAGCCACCCACCAAGGCTAGATCCAACTAGTATCTAAAAAGAAAAATATGCAACGTTTTGAAAAGGCATTTCTTTTTCCTGTACATAAGGGAAATAAATATGTTAAGAGAGATTTCTGTACTTTTTTCTTTTTAGAAACATGTGGCTCCCACAGACTTTACTATTTGACACAAAGTAGAGTTAAATTATGGTAATTTTTTAAAGGATTCGTTTCATAATATAGTATGAAAATAAAAACAAAAAACTTTAAACAATAAGATTAAAATGTATTCATATTACTAAAAAGTGAAAATTATATACCAATTTAAATAGGATTAAAGTGATTTTAAAAAACTGAAAATACTAAGTAAATTTTCATATCAAACGAAGCAGATCAAATATGAGTTCACAGTCAAACATTTAACATAAATAGTCACCTGTGGTCCATCAGCTAAGCTATCAATTATAGAAAGAACATCTTTTCTCCATTTCCCTACTGTGCCTTCTTCTAAGATGCCATCTGAATTTCCAACACCCGAGTAATCAAACCTGGAAAAGGAAAAATAAATCTATATACTTATCTATATATTTACTTCTGTTTTTTGGTGGGGAGGGAGGAGGTAGGGATAAACATTCCTCATTATTACAACGTCTAAAACATTGGAAAATATCAGTCAATGTATATGAAGGGACTTCTAAAAGAACATGGAAAAATTCCATTGTGTTTTAATTCCATTTTTCTATGAACATTTGAAGCCCCCTTTCTGTAAATCTAAATGGCCTAACCTTCAAATATCTCATATATTCAATGTTTTCTCACCTCCTCCACTACAACCAACCTGGTCCAAGTCACTATGATCTCTTGAACGGACTAATGCAATAGTTTTCTAATGTCTTCACACTGCCATTTCCACTCTTGTAACCTCCACACGGACTCCTGGAATGGCGCTGTAGGATAAGAACTAGACTGCGAACAACAAGGTCAGCGGTTCAAACCCACCAGCAGCTCCTCAGAAACCCTATACAGGGTCACTATGGGTCAGAACCACGCAGTGGTTACAAGTTGGGCTGCTAATCTCATGGTCAGTTGTTTGAAACTACCAGCAGTACTTCGGGAGAACAATGAGGCTTTCTGCTCCTTTCATAAAGATTCACACCCTCGGAAACCCTATACGAGGTCACTATGAGTTGGAACTGACTATATAGGAGTCTTTGTGTGGCGCTGTGAGTTAAAGCGCTGGACTGCAAAACTGGTTTGAACCACAAGGCCAGCGGTTCAAGCTCACCAGTCGCTCCTTGGAAACCCTATATAGGGTCGCAATGGGTCAGAATTGACTTGACAGCACTTAACAATAGTTTCCAAACAGTAGAATGATCCTTTCAAAACAAAAATCATGTCTTGCACAAACCCGTCGAAGGCTTTCTATAACCATTAGAATAAAACCCAAAGTCCTTACCATGCTCTGGCCTTTACTTCACTGACCTCATTTGTTACTGCTTTCTCTCTCCCAACCATAGCCACATTTCCTTTTCCTGTTTCGGGATTTTTTCATCAGCTTTCCCCACTACATGGAATACTCTATCTTCAGATATTCACTTAAGATTTCTCCCTCACTTCAATCAGGCCTTTGGTTCAATGTTACACCCCCAGAAGACTTCCTTGACCATTCATTGTAAAATTGTGCTCCTTCCATCATTTTCTATTTCCTTACCCTATATTTGATTATTCATATGTAGTGACTTCCACTATCATTTGGAAGCTCCATGTAGGCAGACATTGTTTTGTGCACCATAACTTTCGCATTGCTAAGATCAATATTCTGTACATTGTAAGCAATCAGTACAGATTTACTGAAGGGAAGGAGAGGTCCAGAATCAAATTTATCACCACTGACCCATTCAGTTAGTTTCTTTCAAACTTCCTAGATATCTAGGCTCAATTCTATCTGGTTTGTGAATTTCACCTCCTTCAATATCCCAAATTCAATAAATCATGAGTTAGCATAACACTCCTGTTGTTAAGTACCATGGAGTTGGTTCTGACTCATAACCCTGCACAGTTTCCGAGGCTATAAATCTTTACGGGAGCAGAAAGCCTCATCTTTCTCCCGCAGAACGGCTGGTAGTTTCAAACTGCCGATCTTGAGGTTAGCAGCTCGATTCATAACCACTACGATCAGCCCAAATCCTAGTCATAATGATTTGACTCCCAATTTCTGGATAAGTCATTTCATAACTTCAGGATTTTGTATGCTGTTTTGCTGCCTACAATGCTATCCTGCCCTATTCAAATTCCAAGTAATCCAAGCCATTCACCTCCACTTTCTGAGGAAGTGCCATACTGTTTTCCAGAGTGATTGAACCACTTTACAGTCCCTCCAGCAATGTAGGAGGGTCCCAGTCTCTCCTCCTGACCCTCACCAGCATTTGTTGTCTTCCATTTTTTTTTTAAACTTCACTGTTAATGCTAGTGTGAGATGCTATCTCATTGTTGTTTTGATTTGCATCTCTCAAATACCTAATGATTGTGAACATTTCTCCATGTTTGTTGACTGACTGAATGTCTGCTTTGGTGAAGTGTTGGTTCATGTACTGTGCTCATTTTCAAATTGGGTTATTTGTCTTTTTCTTGTAGAAGTGTTGTAATTTCCTATGAATTTTAGAGATTAGTCCCTTGTCTGATGTGTTGGTGTAAAAAAGTTTTTCCCAGTCTGTGAGCTCCCTCTTTCTTCTTTTGGTTAAATCTTTTGATGCACATAAGTTTCTAATTTTTAGTATATCCCAGTCATCTATTTTGTCTTCTATTGTTTTTGCAATGTTTGATAGTCTAGGTATGCCAAACATTAGAGCCCTTAAGTTTGTTAATCATCTTTATAGTTCTGGGGTTTACAATTAGGTAGGAGTATTGTGGCTGCACTTTTTCCAACACAGATTTGTTTGTTCTTCTGTTTGTTGTTGTTAGGTGCCGTCAAGTCAGTACCGACTCATAGCGACCTA